CTGTAATGAAGACAAGAAAACCTCAATTAGTAGCTAGCTTGGACAGCATGTTATGCATGACTTTAGCACATAAAAGAAACACTGCAGCTATTCTATGCATTCTTTTATGTAAATTCACTTACAGTGTGAAAGCTATGGCTGCCTTTCTTTTTCAGCATTCCTGTTAAAAGTACTCTGCCAGTAGAGGCCTTATTCTGCTGTTCCTGGAAAACATTTCCTGAAAGAGTTGGAGGCTCTTTGCTCCAGCCTAACCCCCACAAATCTCCCACCTCCCCAGCCCTGACTTCGCCTGTATTCTGGACAGAGCCTGGGGAAGCCTTGCCTGATTTGCATAGACAGTCTGTGCAGATCACATGAGGCTTTTGGCTATACTTACTCTATAAATTCTTCCAATTGGAACTACATAGCTCAGTGCAGTTATGTCTGTCTGTTCCACATGCTGATTAGCTTGGTCTCAGACCCAGAGGTGTTATTCTGCATTAAAGCACTTACCTACCAGGCACTTTTACCCCCTTCATGCCCAGGCCAATTTTCAGCTTTCATTCCTGTTGCACTTTGACAATTGCACAGTCATGCAACATTGTACCCATATGAAATTTTTATAATTTTTTTCACACACATAGAGCTTTTATTTTGGTGGTATTTAATTGCCACTGGGTGTTTTATTTTTTGTATTATAAACAAAAAAATGAGCAAAAAAATTTAACAAAAAGGTTTTTCTTTGTTTCTATTAATAAAATTCTTCACTGATGTGCGTTGATGAGGCTGCACTGATAGGTGGCACTGATGAGGTGGCACTGGTGGGCATTGATAAGGCACTGATGATGCTGCACTCATATGCATCAATGTTGGGCACTGATAGGCAGGACTGATGGGCGCTGTGATGGACGCAAGATCGCTGCCACCAATATGTGACGACCACAGTGTCAGACCCCAGCCCTTCTCACCAAACTCGGGACAGGAGGACTAGCCAGTCTTAAACCGCGATGTCACGTGCATAATAATGCCACACCCAGCTGCACCCTGCACAACGATTTTCCAGCTAATTGGACCAAAGTCGATGTACCGGCAGCCTGAGCGATTGTTACTGGGTTAGGTTAATTACGCAGTTAACCCTTCACGCTGCCACCACCTCCTTTTTGTACAGAGAAAGAGCAAACTCGGCAATATCTGCAATAACACTATAATGGTTGAGGTAATCGTCTGTATAACCCGGTCACCGCAGGCCGTTTATACAAAGGGTTAAACAAACACAGTAGCGTTCTCTTTAGAGGTAGGAATTCGTAAATTGCAATTAAGAGCTATAGAATCAGTTCAACACTTTCAGAAGGAAAGATTTATTACTAAAAGGTCAAACGGGTGCAATAAAAATATTTACAGAACAAAGATGTAACCATATATATATATATATAAATATACAGAGAACAGCACAGCAAAGAGATAATAGAAAGGAGGTTTAAGGGTTAAAATACTTGCCAAAGTCCTGGGTTAGCAGATCAAGTTTCAGAGCAGAAGGGTGCTTTGATCTCCCTCTGTTTTGATGGTCAATGGGAGAATTCTTCAACTTCCCTCTCTTAGGCCTGACAGCCCAATTTGTAGTCCCCCAGCAGGGGGTGTCTCTAAAGCCAAGGACCAATGCCTCATTTTGTGAGGGGTGGTCTGGGCGGATACCTCAACTAGAGCCAAAATCTCTCCTAACTCCTATTTTGGCTCATAACTTTCCATATGCATAAGTGACACTCCACCCACAGGCAGATTATTATGCAGACACGTCTGAGGATTGATTAGATATGAATTATGAAATTCTACACTGAATGGTTCGTGAGATCTGCTTTTCTATGTATTACAACTACGAAGAGAAACCTATCAAACTGTTCGCCTCCTCGTGGCCAATGTGATGATATGCCTGGTTTTTATGTATGTCAATCATATTCCAAGATATGAGACATAGGGGAAAAAATGGATATTTAAAAAGGTTATCTGGTTCAATGTCTTTTGAACTCCTGGGAAGGCTGGCTGTAGCTTTTACGAGGTGCTACATTTTACAGGTTCTTTGGACAGTGAGGCCCAGCTCCCTTGGGGGTCCTATAGCTCATAGCCCCCCTGCTGGGCTCTGGCCTGTGACCCTTTTAACACACATACACACATGCTGCCATATGTCACTGTGCCTCTCAGAGAGGGAGGGGGGGAAAGAATGAGGGGAGAAAATGGAGATTCTTAACAAAACGGAGGCTGCATCCTGCCTCTGGTGCGCACGTTCGCGACAGGCACGTTCTGGGAGGACTTCATATGACGCCCTCCCAGAACTGGAGAACTGCACGGTTGGCAAATGGTTAAAGCATGGTATTGCCTATCTGTCTTTTCTGCCATATAGATTTCCAATATAATTTGGTGCTTTGTAGGGTGCGAAATTTGCATTTTTATGGCTTTGAAACGAAAGCATTTTGTTTAGATGGAAGGATCTCTCTTTATTTTTACTTTTATACATTTTTTTTTGTCATCTTTCAAACTGGACAGCCAGCCACAGATTAGGAAATTAAATTTTTATGCTCTCACATGGCCATGGGAGAATACTGCCTGTGGGAGTGCTAAAATATTTCAGAAGATCAATCGTACTCGAATGTATTACTTTAATTTCATGACTGACTTCTGACTGATGATGTGTTTTTGCCACATCCAGCGCAGATGAGGTGATCTTGAAACCACAGGGAGCTCAGCTGACCGTTGAGTATTTAGAAGAGAACAGCTTCAGTGTTCCAATCCTGGTTCTAAAGAAGGATGGGCTTGGAATGACCCTTCCTCCTCCTTCCTTCACAGTAAATGATGTGGAATATTATGTGGGTAAGTGAACATGTTTCTAATTGTCTAATTGTATGTATAAAATAAGTGATGTCCCTTAAAAGATTTTAGGTAGATGAACAAGTGTGAACACAGTGCTGCTTCTTGGTGTGAACTGTAGGCAGCACATATGACTGCTGCAAGAACACTTTCCAGGGGCTCCAGTTTGGGGTTTTCCAAGTATTTGAATTGGCTCTTGTATAATGAAAACTTGTTCATGTTTGCTTGAGCACACCATTTACATTTTTACTTATTTCGTGCAGGAGCAGAGAAGGAGATTGATGTAATTGATGTGGTTAGACAAGCCGACCTGAAGATGAAGCTGAAGGATTTTGTCAAATATTACAACAGCCCCAAGAGGGAGAAAGTGCTCAATGTGATCAGCTTGGAGTTTTTCTGAGACAAGGTGTTTAATCTGTCAAGTTAATGACCTTAGTTTTTTGTGACATTCTTTTCCAAAAATAATGTACTAAACAGTGCTGTGCCTGCACAAAATCTTTTTACGGTTTATCGCTGCCAAGGAATCTTGTACATGTGATGCACTAATTGGCGTGTCAGAAGCCTGGTCCTTTTCTGCATGTTGTGGTCCTTCTGCAACCCATACTTCTCAATGGGATGCATTAGTGATGCAGGGACTTACAGAAAGGACCACGCACCCAATACGCCTAGAAGTGTCTGGAAAGCAGTTATTTCTTTGTTGCTTTGATAAAATTACCTGAACTTTACATCGAAGGGCAATTTAAAACCTTTTTTATAATGGCTATTTTAAATTAATAATGGCTATTTTATTAATAAAAACATTTAACTGTTTTTATACTTTTGTTATTCATATAAACATTTTATTCAAATAGAAAATTGACAGGGTGCACCCATGACGATGTTACATAGCAGTATTAAACTTATAATGAGATAATGTGACAGAGATTATCTTTCAGGCTAACTTTCCCTAGTTGATGATTCATAAATCTTAGTCTGAATCCAACAAGAAGGAAGGGGGGATTTGGTACTCCTCTGGCTCATTCAGCTGTGTGTATACATTTGCGCTTGAGCTCATGAACTCTTGAATTAGTTTTTTTTTTTTTTTTTGTTTTTCCTTTTTCTTGCAGGTAGAAAATATAAATTTTGTGAATTTAAAGGTGTGTGTGTGTGTGTGTGTGTGTGATATTATTATTATTAATATTATTTTTTTTTTTCTAATTTTTGATACTACATGTGAAAACACTATATGTTAAAGTTAACCTGTAATTCTTTTGAAGTAATCTCATCTTGGGCAGCTTAGTGGCTGAATAGTTAGCTCTTCCGCCTGGCAGTACTAGGGTGATTGGTTCGAATCCCAACCACGGCACCACCTGCCTGGAGTTTGCATGTTCTCCCTGTGCCTGCGTGGGTTTCCTCTGGGTACTCCGATTTCCTCCTACCCTCCAATGACATGCTGGTAGGTTAATTGGATCCTGTCTAAACTGGCTCTAGTATGTTTATGTATGAATGTAAGTTAGGGACCTTAGATTGTACGCCCCTTAAGGGTTAGGGACTGATGTGAATGTACAATATATATATATATATATATATATATATATATATATATATATATATATATATATATATATATATATAAAGCGCTGCATAAATTGACAGCACCACATAAGTACCTATAATAAACCTTTACACAATTGTCCTTGTGAATGTACTAATTTCTGCATTTTCATTAACAGGTTGTCAAATCTTGTCGAAACTCCAAAGATTGTACGCAAGCTATCCTGGGTGGAAAACCTGTGGCCAGAGCAAAGTGTGTTTGAAAGACCAAATGTGCAGAAGTACTGTTTGATGGGGGTTAAGGACAGCTATACAGATTTCCATATAGATTTTGGAGGGACATCAGTCTGGTATCATGTTTTAAAGGTATACATTGAAAGACGCTAGCATTGTACTAGCTCTGTTCGTATGTAGCGTGTAAATCTAACAAACTGCTATAATACACAGGCTGCAGCATTCTGTCATGATTTTTCATTTTGTTTTGTGCTAGGGAGAGAAGATTTTCTACCTGATACAGCCTACAAAGACCAACCTGGCCTTGTTTGAGTGCTGGAGCAGCTCTTCTAACCAGAATGAAATGTTTTTTGGTGATCAGGTAGACAAGTGTTTCCGGTGTTCAGTAAAGCAGGGCCAGACTCTCTTCATCCCCACAGGTAACTAATATGATAAGGACATACGAGTTTTGCTTGATAAGACATTGCAAAGAGCATATGTCTCTGATGCCCCAAAGGCCAACTACAGATTACCTGTTAGCAATTTAACTGCACATCAAAGCCCTTTGTGTTGTTATTTTCAAACCTGCTCCGAGTACCAGATTGGTTGACATTTGTTAAATCCTTCACATTTCACAGGCTGGATTCATTCAGTTTTGACTCCTGTGGACTGCCTGGCTTTTGGCGGAAACTTCCTGCACAGTCTAAATATAGCAATGCAGCTCAGGTAGGTGACTTAAGCGGCAGACCACACCATTCTACATACTTTCAGTGCACCTGGAAAAGAGTGAGGGGGGAAAAAGTTCTCTTTTCTGCCCTGGCAGGAAAAGGTAGTGTAGGTAGCTGCAGAAGAGTCACAGCACCCACAAATAGAGCTTTCTTTCCGTGGTATTTGATCGGCTGTGCATTTTTTGTTTTGTTTTTTTTTGCACTATAAACAAAGGCCGACAATTTTCAGAAAAAACAATATTTTTTACTTTTTGCTATTTAACACCTTCCTGCCCGGCCTATAGCAGATTGATGGCCGGGCAGGACACTCGCCATCGTGAATGGGCGTCATATGACGTCCTGTCAAAACGAGCCAGCCGTGGGCCACGCAGCGGCGTGATCTGTCACCGGCTGTGTCCACGGGACACAGCTGATGAAATATCACTACACCGGCCTGTTGTCAGTGTCATGTGACCACTGACCAATCACAGCAGATCACATGTCAATTGTATACAATGGATGGCTTCCTGTCCTACTATCCATTGTATACAATTATGTTGTTAGCTGTGACTGGTCAAAGCAGCAGTCACATGATACAAACAGGTCCAATCACAGCCCATCTGTATCATGTGATCAACTTTGCCCAATCACAGCTAATCACAACAAAAGACTGAATGAATCAGTTTCATTCAGTAACAATGACTGCAAATATCAATGAAATACATTGGTATTAGCAATCATAATGTGTTAAAAAAAAAAATCCTGATCACTTGCCCAGAGTAGTTCAATGTTACTATGATAACATTGTATTGCTTTGGTCACAAAAATAAAATGGTGAAAAAAATGTAATAAAAAAAAATTATAGGAACATTTGAAAAAAAAAAAAAATACAAATTCAAATATTGTTATTTTCACCAAAGAAATGTAGCAGAATACATTTTGTCCTAAATTTATGAAAAATTTTTATTTATTTGTTAAATTTTATAACGGAAATGAAGAAAAGTGTGTTTGTGTTTTTTTTGGTTCTTTTTTTTAAAGTTTCAGGTGTATGTGTAAATAATAATAAAAAGCTCAGTGGTGATTAAATACCACCAAAAGAAAGCTCTATTTGTGTGAAACAAATGATAAAATTTCATATGGGTACAGTGTTGCATTCAAAGTGCAACAGTGCTGAAAGCTGAAAATTGGCCTGAGCAGGAAGGGGGTATAAGTGCCCGGTATTGAAGTGGTTAAACATGTCCAGTAAAAAAATTAAAAAAATCAAATTTAGTCATAAATTTAGGCCAAGATGTATTTTGTTACATGTCTTTGCTAAAAAAAAAAAAATATCAATACGTGGAAATTAATTGGTTTACGTGAAAGTGTTTACAAATGGCAATATATATAGTGGAATTTTTTCCCTCTTTTTGCAAAAAAAATAAATGTTGGTCAAGTTACTTTTTAGCTGGTTAAAGAGGGTTTCCACTTTCAGAGAAAGCAGAAACTCTGCTACTAAATAGGAGTCTCTCTTCATTGCACTTGGCAGCTAAGCTAATTGAGTAGCACTGCCGCCCAGACCCAAAGTTGCACCTACTGGAAGCTTTTCAGCTTTCCTCAGTTTAAAACTATTACATGTCCTCGGAAAATAATTGCTTTTCAAAAATTCTTCCAGTGGCTCCCTGTGACTGGGTTTCCAAAGACAAGTAGCGTGTTGCTTAAGCTGGAATTAGCCTTTCTTAAAGCCTGATGATGGTAAAATAGAAATCTTCTGTGACTCCTTTAACACAATTTGAGGGGTTCCTTTTTGCTGATGTCCATCAGGTTTACCAGAACAGGAGTTTGCAATTTGTTTATTTTGGGGTTTTATTTTTTTTGTTTTGTGTTTTTCAGAGCATATGAGATTGAAAAGCGGCTGAGTACGGCTGATCTGTTCAAGTTTCCAAATTTTGAGTCCATCTGTTGGTATGTGGGAAAACACTTACTGGACACATTTCGTGGTAAGCCTGTCTGTTCCCTGCTGTTAATGAATCTATTATCTACTACTGTTTTTTGCCTTCCTTACAAGTGTCTAAATACAGTCAGATCTAATCAGAGATGTTGCTGGTTGCTAGAGTATTTTATTGCTCTACTGAATGACAAAAGACTAAGGGGGTATATAGTTCTTTTCTGACCGGATGCAGGTCAGAGTACATTTAAAGTAGAAGTTCACCTTTAGGAACATGTAATGGGTTCCCATTGCTGCAGTCGCCTCCCTCTCCCCCTCTGACAGAAGTACGGGGAGAAGTTGCCTATACTAGCTGACACTTTTTGAAAACAGCGCGGCCATGCAGGTCTCCACCCACATTGCCTAGTTATTCATTCACAGAGTCCTTTGAATGAACTACAAGTGCCAACATCCTTTGCAAAGGTCGACTTGTAGTTCTCAATGAACTACCATGGTGCTGTTGAACACTGTGGCAACTGCCTGTATGAGGTATGAGCAGACAGCTTACACTCACAGTCTGCTGTAGTCCTTCATTGCAGCAACAATCTGCTAATCGCTGGTGAAAGCTTTCAAGGCTCCAAATAGTAAATGTGTTGAAGTCATCAGTTTTGAGATGCTTCAGAGAAGGTGCCTTTTTGTCCTGCAGTTTACCTCCTTCTGACCTGCATTTGACTTAGTTCAAGCGGGTGCTGCCCTCCTATAGACTTGTAGGAGACTGTAGAACCTCTCTGATGTGAGGTGAACAAAACCCTGTGGACTCAAGCCCTTAACCTCCCTGGCGGTATTCCTGAGTGTAGCTCGGGGTAAAGTTTCTGTACCAAAAGCGGTATCCCCGAGCTACACTCGGGCTTACCATGCGGCATTGCTCAGGGATTTCCCTGCAGAGCTTACCTTATCCTTCGCTCCCGCGATGTATCACCTGCAGCGTCCCCGCGGCCATCTCCGGCTGATGCCGGCATCCGGCTTCTGTGTTCCGGTCCCTGTGACGTCGGCAGTTAGGGGGGGGGAAATTTGAAAATTTAAAAAAAATTTCATTTTTTTTCAAAACAAATTTTACATAGTAAAACATTGCTATTTCAACCCATTTCACATACATTTTGTCCCGAGTGCTTTGTCCTGTCCCCTGCCTGCATTTTGACTGTTCTTTCTGCCTGGAAAATTAGAAAAGTCCATGGCGTCCCTTTAGGTCAAAAGCGGGTTTAGATCAGCTAGAGAACAGCGATAGTAAATCAGAACCACTTGCAGAATTGAGTGATAATGATTTGTGGGGAAATTCATCATCGGACACTGAAAACGATTCTGCGACTTTGCTCAGTGATGTGCGAAACTTGGCGCTATATTTCAAATTTCAGTGTTTTTGGTTTGATTATATTATTGAATTAAATGTATTATTATTATATTATTTTTTATGATTATTTATTAAATTATAATTTATGATTTTGTGTTTCAAATTTTATCATACCCGCGATGTTTAATAGACTCTTGTTCGGACAGATTTCAGTGAGTTATTCCTAAATATTACAGCCTACAATAAAAAAACTACATATTTCCATGCAAAAAATAATGGTACCTCTTTTCAGCACCAAAAATCTGAAATAATCATACCGCCAGAGAGGTTAAGATGGCACCCAACATGTACCTGTTAAAGCGGAGTTCCAGCTGAAAAAAATAAGTCAGCAGCTACAAAAATTGTAGCTGCTGACTTTTAAAACACAGGCACTCACCTGTCCCTCAGTCCAGCAGTATCCTCACCGCACCGCTGGTTTCATCGGCCGTCGTTTCTCCCCGGTGCCGGCATCTTCAGTGTGGACACCCAGCTGTGACAGCTTGCGACTTCACAGCTGGATGCCCACTGCGCATGTGCGAGAAGCACTGCGCTTTGTGAATGGCCCCTTTAGTCTTCTGGGACCTGTCACGTGTCCCAGAAGACTACGGGGGGTGGAGGGACAACTTCTGCTTCCGATCACCTAGGCGATTGCAGCGGAAGTGGTGCGGTGCCTGTCAAATTCGGGTACCCACTCCCCAAAGGTGCCAATCCTTAATGGGAAGTGGGGGACAAAGGCTTAAAGCTGAACTTCCCCTTTTGGGTGGATCTCTGCTTTTTTTGAGAGGATTTTTTTTTTTCTGTTTCTGCCCATGATAGATTTTGCTGACCTCCTAGTTGGGGTTGTTTACTGTCATGAGACTCATGTTCTGCCAGTGAGGAGTTTTCTCTCTTGTTTACCCCAGTCATTTTTTGCTCTACCTTACACATTGAGTATTAGAGTGTCAGTTGATGACTTATCTCTATAACCCTACATTGACACTTTGGAGGGCACAGGGGGTAAAGATTATTTAACACAGGCAACTTTTCAGTCATTCTTCACTATGGCTTCTGAAATATTTTTCCTTATTATGACATTTTGCCTGGGTTTCATTCTGTGCCCGCACTTTTATGTGTTCAGGTCTGCGAGAGAACAGAAGCATCCAGCTACGTACCTGCTGCATGGAGCCAAAGCGCTTAATACAGCTTTTAGGTCCTGGACCAAGAAAGAGGTGAGCTATTTAAGTTGTGGTGCTAATATATTAAAGTGCAAAGAAGAGCAATGCCCCAGTATTTTCTTTGGAAATATATAACATTTTTAACCATGAAAGGTCAGCTAACATCGTTGTGAAGTCTGCTGCCCACTAACTGTTCATTTTAGTGTGTGTATGTTTTGTGTGCGATATAAAGTGGTAAAGATGCACTTGCAGATTGCACAAAGAGTTCCTCACTGATACTTTGCTCATTCCATGAAAAAAAACTGCAGAAAACTCATAATTGTTTCTCTCCAGTGAAATATTTAGTAAAAGGCAAAAAAGTCATTTAATCTGAAAAGATACCAAAGTATATCAATTATATGTTTTTGAATGGCACGAGTCCTCAAAGAAGCCTAAAAAAATCTGCATTGTCTGACGAGGATAAAATCCTAAAGTGGAACTAAACCCATCAATTTAACAGTTTCCAAGATGAGTTCTATTTCAGTAATGCTGGGAATGCCAACTGTCGTATTTGCTTGTGCTCTCCTGGTGTCATAACTGATCATATGTGCAGCACCATGGCAGTTGCAGATCAATCAGAGGCTAAGATGGCAGCTTCCTTGGCTGAAAAGGACAGGAGGATTGAGTTAATGTGTTAAGAGCACCAATTTTTCCTGGTGTTAATGAATAATGATATTTTTCCTTTGATTCGTTTTGATGCAGTTACTAGGCTGAATAATTTCTATTTCACTTAGATTTGCAAGTCACCCTTTATTTTGTTTCAATGAAGAAATAAGGTGATTTCTCGATTTAGCAGATAAAAAACTTTTACTTTTTTTGAAAATTTCTTTGCAATATGAATACTATGATGTATAGTATATCACCAAGAGTAAATATCTCACAGCCATTGCATTATACAGTGCTTTAGTATTTGAGTTTTGTGTTGAACTGTGTTCTTTGCATCCCACCTGCAGTCATTCTGTTGTAGCCCTTTTCTATTATGCAGTTCTGGCACTTTGCTTCTCCTTGCTGTTAGATACTGTTGTGTTTAACTCTGGTGTACTAGCATTTTTTATTATCTGCGTTTTGGTTATCAGGCATTAATGGATCACGAGGAGGAAATCCCAGAGACCATAGTTACTTCTCAGCTCATTAAGGATCTTGATCGAGAAATCCGGCTAATGGAGGTAAGTTGCCCAATATTTAGGGTTCATAAGGTGTACATATTTAGTATATGTTGCTTGAGATTTTGTGCTTTCTATCAGGATATATTTCATCAAAACATTGAGAAGACTGGCAATCTTTTGGGTATGACGAGAAGCCCCATGACAAGCACTTCCTCTCCCGTGAAAATGTCTCTGCTGGCCAAGGGTCCTAAGAAAAAGGGGGTCAAGACCAAAGATTTTGTCAAAAAAGGTGGAAGATGGGGCAAAGATGGGCAGGACGATGACTCGGAGCTTGCTGATATTCAAAATCCGAGGAAGGTCTTTGTTCACAAGAAAGAAATGGTGGGATTTCCATAAGATTGCTATATGATCCTTAGCAAATATTACTGTATTTTTTGTGTAATAGTGTTTTGTTTTTTTTTTTCAACTTGACAACGTTTAACCTTCCTAGCGGTAATCCCGAGTGTGGCTCGGGGTTAATTTACAGTACCAAAAGCGGTAACCCCGAGCCACACTCAGGATTACACTGTAGTGCTTGTCCTGCGATTCCCCCGATCCTTACCTTGTCCTGCGATCCCCTGATGTCCTCTGGCTGATGCCGGCATCCGTCTTCAAGGTTCCCTTCCCTGCGAACGTCATTATGCAGGGGGGCCGAACCGGTGGGAGATTCAAAAAAGTAAAAAATATGACATACACATAATACATTGTAATCTGTTAGTATTACATTACTGTATCAAACCATTTCACCTAAATTTTGTCCAGTGCTATGCCTGCACGTTTACTGTGCTTTCTGCCTGGAAACTTGAGATTCATGGTGTCCAAAAAGCGTCCCTTTTTTAGGTCAAAAGCGGTTTTAGACCGGCTAGAAAACAGCGATCATGAATTAGAATCACTTGCAGAATTGAGTGATAATGATGGGGAAATTTGTCATCGGACACTGAAAACGATTCTGCGACTGAGCTCAGTAATGTGCGAACTTGGTGCTCTGTTTTTGGTTTGATTACATTACTGAATTAATTTATTGTTATACCTATTTTTTATAATTATTTATTATATTATAATTTATGATTTCGTGTTTCAAACTTTATCATACCCGGGATGTTTACTAGACTCTTGTTTGGACAGATTTAAGTGAGTTATTCCTAAGAATTACAGGCCTACAAAATAAAACAACAAATTTCCATGCAAAACAATGTACCGCTTGGGCATTCAAAAATATTGATTAGTTAGACCGCCATGGAGGTTAAAGAACATCTAGGGGCACTAAGTAAAATTTATGCAAGCCAAGGAAGATTGTGTTTTTGTGTGTGTGTAACATAGAGAGCCTACTGATTCTATAAAATACAGTTTTATATTAAGGAGAACTTCTGTTCTACTGAATTACATAAGTTGTCTTTCCCTATCCGTGTCGCCCACCTAATAATTACCTTCAGCCCTATTCTGGAGATCTTTGCTGTCTGGCACTGCACTGCCTTTGCACAAAAAAAATCATGGCTGGGCCCTGCACTGTGGCTTCATTTATTCCTGTGCCTGGGTAGGGCCACGCATTGACATTCAGGGCAAAGCTGAAAATATGTATTCTAGCATGTGAGTACTTTTTGTGTTTTGAGGAACAACTTCACCAAATTTTTTTTAAGGCTTTTTTATGGTTATGTGCTTAAAGTGTTACTACACTCACAACAGTAAAATCAGTCTGTATATGCAGTAAAGCATACTTTGATATACTCACTGTGGAACCTAAGGGGTTAATCCTCTGTATTGTGTAAAAAGGCTGTTTGATCCTGACTTCTGATCCTCCCCTTCATCATGTCCCCCTCTTATCACCTGATAAGACTTATCGTGGGGAGACATTGCACAAGCTCAGTTTGGTGTGTATTGCTAGAGAGTTTTGTTTTTATTTTTTGGCAGAGTGCATGTGATAAGCACAGGGCCAATCAGCACTGTCCAGACAGAGGTCAGAGGTTCTGCATACTCCTAGAGCAGAATGAAAACTCCTCCTACAGGCTTTAACCAGTGCTCTGCTGAACACTGATACAAGTCACAAACTGCTCTAACCGCTGATGAAAAGGTAGGAGACCAGATAGTGAATGCAGGGTCCACAAGACCTAGTAGAGTGAATGCTCGGGTAGAGTGAATGCAGGGTCCGGGGGGGACCGGGGGGTAGAGTGAATGCAGTGTGACCGGGTAGAAATGCAGTGTAGGAGACCGGGTAGAGTGAATGCAGTGTACCGGGTGAATGCAGGGTCCGGGGGAGACCGGGTAGAGTGAATGCAGGGTCCGGGGGAGACCGGGAGTGAATGCACCTAGTAGAGTGAAGGGTCCGGGGGGGCAGTGAATGTCCTGGGGGGGACCGGGTAGAGTGAATGCAGGGTAGAGTGAATGCAGGGTCCGGGGTAAAGTGAATGCAGGGTCCGGGGAGACCCTGGGGGGTAGAGTGAATGCAGGGTCCGGGGGGGACCGGGTAGAGTGAATGCGGGTAGAGTGAATGTCCGGGGGAGACCGGGTAGAGTGAATGCAGGGTCCGGGGGACCGGGGTTGGGAGAATGCAGGGTCCGGGGGAGACCGAGAGTGAATGCAGGGTCCGGGGGGTGACGGGGTAGAGTGAATGCGGGGTCCGGGGGGAGAGTAGAGTGAATGCAGGGTCCGGGGGGGGGGAACCAGGGTCCGGGGGGGGGTGAATGAGGGTCCGGGGGGGGGGGACCGGGTAGAGTGAATGCAGGGTCTGGGGGGTAGGGGACCGGGTAGAGTGAATGCAGGGTGAGTGAATGCAGGGTCCGGGGGAGACCGGGTAGAGTGAATGCAGGGTCCAGGGAGACCAGGGAGACGGGTAGAGTGAAATGCCGGGTAGAGTGAATGCGGGGTCCGGGGTCCGGGGGAGACCGGGTAGAGTGAATGCGGGGTCCGGGGGAGACCGGGTAGAGTGAATGCGGGGTCCGGGGGAGACCGGGTAGAGTGAATGGGGGAGACCGGGTAGAGGAATGCGGGGTCCGGGGGAGACCGGGTAGAGTGAATGCAGGGTCCGGGGGAGACCGGGTAGAGTGAATGCAGGGTCCGGGGGAGACCGGGGTAGAGTGAATGCAGGGTCCGGGGGAGGGCGGGTAGAGTGAATGCAGGGTCCGGGGGAGACCGGGTAGAGTGAATGCAGGGTATGCAGGGACCGGATATAGGGCATGCAGGGTCCTGGGTTTAGTAACACTTTAACATACTTATTAGTCTTCCTGTGCTTCCAAGAGAGATTGTTGACGGCAAATGCTGAATCATTTCTTTCTAAATACTGTTGGCATGTGTGAGAATGGGACAGGCCTGGGTCATGTATACTTGTATCAGTAAGAAGACTTTTTTGGGCAGAGCTGGCAATCATTGGCCTACAGAATAATAGATTCAATATTATATAAAGCCAAAAGATTTTACAAAGTTTGTAGCCTGACCTACTGAAGCTTTGGCAGAATAAAAAAACAATCTTGAGCCTTGCTCCTGTCAGGACGGGATTTTGGTAATCGCCATAGTCCATTTTGAGAATAGTTTCCTGAAAGAGTAGGAATTGGGTGCTGAAATATGATCACAATAAGCAATAAAATGAGCAATCTGCTGGTTGAAGGTTCAGTTCTGTATCAACAGTGGATAGTCGATTTGTTATTGTAGCAGTTGCTTTCACGTGTAATTGTGGTCAGCAGTCACTTAAGAAATAGTATTTGAAAGCTAGAGCTGCTTGCATTGTGTGAATCCCCCCCCCAGCCTCCCTTGCCACAGAGTTATTTAAAGGATAAGTTCACCTTTTTTGTTCATTTCTTTTTTTCCCCTGAATTCCAGCACATCTATGTACCAATATAGTGTATGTGAACTTTACAAAACCCAGAACACAATTCTCCTGCTTTCAATACTACAGCTCCATCCACATAGCCTGCCATCTGTTCACACTGTGCCAAATGAATGATCTATTCAAGGTGAAAGTTAAGGTAGAAAAATAAAAAATCAATGTCTGTGTATTTAGTGAGAACAGTGATCACTGATTGATTGCTTTTCATGTAATATTCGTGCACCTGGAAGTGGGTGGGAGGGTAGATGATGTGGGGGGTGCTAAAGAGGTCAGCTGATCAACTCCTTCCTGTGTCATGACCTGAAGGCTCTGCAGGTAATGGAGAAAGGCAGAAGTAATGGAGACGCTTTGCGGACAGCCATCTGGACACTGACATTAAGGTGGGTAGAAAAAATGGAAAGCTTTTGAATTTCTACAGAAGAAGTACACTAATGCTATATTGGTACATAGAGGAGCTGGAATTTAGAAAAAACAAAACGTGAAGGTGAACTTATTTAAGGTGAGTCTGTAGTAATTCCATATAGCCACATAGTATACGACAGTTGCACAAAAGAACAGCAATGTACGCTATAGAGACAATCTGGTTTTATTGGTGGTCTTTTGTGCACCCGTAGTGCTCCACAAATTGCCTGTATTGAGTGTAGACAATCCTATTTGCCTCTCGTGCAAGATTGAAAATGCACCAAACATTGCAACAACCTTGTATTCCAGTGTGCAGTGTTGTGTTTTTTATAGAAACAGAATCTGCCACGTAGCCGTAAAATGTCCATTCCTAGAGTTTCATAACTAGAAAACTAGTGTTACCTTAAACAGTTCATGCTAACAATGGTGGGCCGGATGGTAAAAGCACTATTAAACAGGCATGAAACAGCTGGCCAGAAAAGCAGCTACTTGTTGTTTTGGCACAAGTTTTATGTAAAGGTATGGTACTTTCCTGAATTTGCTGCCACTCCATTAATTTGAAGTACTCTTCACTAATACAATGTCTAAAGTATAATTTTGGGCTAACTAATCTTAAAACTGTTCCCACCCCCTTCTACCACCAGTACTAACTAACCTGTAGAAGAAAGATGCATATACTATTGGCAGTCTGTTGTCTGAACTCCCTCTTCTCCCCTGCAGCCACTGCCAGCTGACACTTTGACCGGAGTGCCCTTAGTATAGGTGGTGGGGGGGGGGGGGGCAGTTTTAAGATTAGTGATAGCCTGGAATTCCACTTTCATTCATTTGTGCTGTAGCCCTATAAACCACCTAGATCTCTGATGAACTGGCTTCTGTAGTCTATTTGATATCAAATCCTTCCCCAACACCTACGGAGAGTAATATTAAATACATATTGAAATGTGTGTGTGCGCTCCACCATTTTCCCCCAAACCCATTTGCGTGTCTTTTAATCCAGATGGATGACGATATTTTGGATGATATTGAGGAGAAGCCTGATGGCAGTCTACTGGATTCTGAATTGGCAGACAGTAAACTGCGTTTAGTTTTGGCCAATGGTACAAATCTAAGGTGAGTGATCTTTTAT